AGTGCAGTTTGTAGTATGTGTAGTGCAATGTGTAGTGCAGTGTTTAATACAGTGTGTAGTACTCAGTGTGTAATACAGTGTGTAGTACAGTGTGTTGTACTCAGTGTGTAGGGCAGTGTGTAGTACAGTGTGTAATACTCAGTGTGTAATACAGTGTGTAGTGCAGTGTTTAATATAGTGTGTAGTACAGTGTGTAGTGCAGTGTGTAGTGTAGTATGTGTAGTACAGTGTGTAGTGCAGTGTGTAGTACACTGTGTAGTACTGTGTTTAACACAGTGAGTAGTACAGTGTGTAGTGCAGTGTGTAGTACAGTGTTTAGTACAGTGTGTATTACTCAGTGTGTAGTGCAGTGTGTAATACAAAGTGTAGTGCAGTGTGTATTACAGTGTGTAGTATGTGTAGCACAGTGTGTAGTACAGTGTGTAGTGCAGTGTGTCGTATGTGTAGTACAGTGTGTAATACAAAGTGTAGTGCAGTGTGTAATACAGTGTGTAGTACAGTGTGTAGTGCAGTGTGTAGTACAGTGTTTAATACAGTGTGTAGTGCAGTGTGTAGTACAGTGTGTATTACTCAGTGTGTAGTGCAGTGTGTAGTACAGTGAGAAGTACAGTGTTTAATACAGTGTGTAGTACAGTGTTTAATACAGTGTGTAGTGCAGTGTGTAGTACAGTGTTCAATACAGTGTTTAATATAGTGTGTAGTACAGTGTGTAGTGCAGTGTGTAGTGTAGTATGTGTAATACAGTGTGTAGTGCAGTGTGTAGTGCAGCGTGTAGTACAGTGTGTAGTGCAGTGTGTAGTACAGTGTGTATTACTCAGTGTGTAGTGCAGTGTGTAGTACGGTGTGTAATACAGTATGTAGTGCAGTGTGTAGTGCAGCGTGTAGTACAGTGTGTAGTGCAGTGTGTAGTGTAGTATGTGTAGTACAGTGTGTAGTGCAGTGTGTAGTGTAGTATGTGTAGTACAGTGTGTAGTACAGTGTGTAGTACAGTGTGTAGTACAGTGTGTAGTGCAGTGTGTAGTGTAGTGCAGTGTGTAGTACACTGTGTAGTACAGTGTTTAACACAGTGAGTAGTACGGTGTGTAGTGCAGTGTGTAGTACAGTGTTTAATACAGTGTGTAGTACAGTGTTTAATGCAGTGTGTAGTATGTGTAGTACAGTGTGTATTACTCAGTGTGTAGTGCAGTGTGTAGTACTGTGTGTAATACGAAGTGTAGTGCAATGTGTAATACAGTGTGTAGTATGTGTAGTACAGTGTGTAGTATGTGTAGCACAGTGTGTAGTACAGTGTGTAGTGCAGTGTGTCGTATGTGTAGTACAGTGTAATACAGTGTAATACAAAGTACAGTGTGTAATATAGTGTATAGTACAGTGTGTAGTGCAGTATGTAGTGCAGTGTGTAGTACAGTGTTTAATACAGTGTGTAGTACAGTGTGTATTACTCAGTGTGTAGTGCAGTGTGTAGTACAGTGAGAAGTACAGTGTTTAATACAGTGTGTAGTACAGTGTTTAATACAGTGTGTAGTGCAGTGTGTAGTACAGTGTTCAATACAGTGTTTAATATAGTGTGTAGTACAGTGTGTAGTGCAGTGTGTAGTGTAGTATGTGTAATACAGTGTGTAGTGCAGTGTGTAGTGCAGCGTGTAGTACAGTGTGTAGTGCAGTGTGTAGTACAGTGTGTATTACTCAGTGTGTAGTGCAGTGTGTAGTACGGTGTGTAATACAGTATGTAGTGCAGTGTGTAGTGCAGCGTGTAGTACAGTGTGTAGTGCAGTGTGTAGTGTAGTATGTGTAGTACAGTGTGTAGTGCAGTGTGTAGTGTAGTATGTGTAGTACAGTGTGTAGTACAGTGTGTAGTACAGTGTGTAGTACAGTGTGTAGTGCAGTGTGTAGTGTAGTGCAGTGTGTAGTACACTGTGTAGTACAGTGTTTAACACAGTGAGTAGTACGGTGTGTAGTGCAGTGTGTAGTACAGTGTTTAATACAGTGTGTAGTACAGTGTTTAATGCAGTGTGTAGTATGTGTAGTACAGTGTGTATTACTCAGTGTGTAGTGCAGTGTGTAGTACTGTGTGTAATACGAAGTGTAGTGCAATGTGTAATACAGTGTGTAGTATGTGTAGTACAGTGTGTAGTATGTGTAGCACAGTGTGTAGTACAGTGTGTAGTGCAGTGTGTCGTATGTGTAGTACAGTGTAATACAGTGTAATACAAAGTACAGTGTGTAATATAGTGTATAGTACAGTGTGTAGTGCAGTATGTAGTGCAGTGTGTAGTACAGTGTTTAATACAGTGTGTAGTACAGTGTGTATTACTCAGTGTGTAGTGCAGTGTGTAGTACGGTGTGTAATACAGTGTGTAGTGCAGTGTGTAGTGCAGGGTGTAGTATGTGTAGTACAGTATGTATTACAGTGTGTAGTACTCTGTGTAGTACAGTGTGTAGTGCAGTGTGTAGTACACTGTGTAGGGCAGTGTGTAGTATGTGTAGTACAGTGTGTAGTGCAGTGTGTAGTACTGTGTGTAATACAATGTGTAGTGCAGTGTGTATTACAGTGTGTAGTATGTGTAGTACAGTGTGTAGTATGTTTAGCACAGTGTGTAGTAGTGTTTAGTGCAGTGTGTAGTATTTGTAGTACAGTGTGTATTACTCAGTGTGTAGTGCAGTGTGTAGTACACTGTGTAGTACAGTGTTTAATACAGTGTGTAGTATGTGTAGTACATTGTGTATTACTCAGTGTGTAGTGCAGTGTGTAGTACACTGTGTAGTACAGTGTGTAGTACAGTGTGTAGTGCAGTGTGTAATACAGTGTGTAGTGCAGTGTGTAGTGCAGTGTGTAATACAGTGTGTAGTGCAGTGTGTAGTACAGTTTGTATTACTCAGTGTGTAGTGCAGTGTGTAGTACTGTGTGTAATACAGTGTGTAGTGCAGTGTGTAGTGCAGGGTGTAGTATGTGTAGTACAGTATGTATTACAGTGTGTAGTACAGTGTGTTGTACTCAGTGTGTAGTGCAGTGTGTAGTACAGTGTGTAGTACAGTGCATAGTACAGTGTGTAGTACAGTGATTAATATAGTGTGTAGTACAGTGTGTAGTGCAGTGTGTAGTGTAGTGTAGTATGTGTAGTACAGTGTGTAGTGCAGTGTGTAGTACAGTGTGTAGTACACTGTGTAGTACAGTGTTCAATACAGTGTGTAGTACACTGTGTAGTACAGTGTGTAGTACAGTGTTTAATACAGTGTGTAGTGCAGTGTGTCGTACACTGTGTAGTACAGTATGTATTACTCAGTGTGTAGTGCAGTGTGTAGTACAGTGAGAAGTACAGTGTGTAGTACACTGTGTAGTACAGTGTTTAATACAGTGTGTAGTGCAGTGTGTCGTACACTGTGTAGTGCAGTGTGTATTACTCAGTGTGTAGTGCAGTGTGTAGTACAGTGTGTAGTGCAGTGTGTCGTACACTGTGTAGTACAGTATGTATTACTCAGTGTGTAGTGCAGTGTGTATTACTCAGTGTGTAGTGCAGTGTGTAGTACAGTGAGAAGTACAGTGTTTAATACAGTGTGTAGTACAGTGTTTAATACAGTGTGTAGTACAGTGTGTAGTGCAGTGTGTCGTACACTGTGTAGTACAGTATGTATTACTCAGTGTGTAGTGCAGTGTGTATTACTCAGTGTGTAGTGCAGTGTGTAGTGCAGTGTGTAGTACAGTGTGTAGTACAGTGTGTTGTACTCAGTGTTGTTGTTGTCGTCTGCAGTTGTCCGTCCAGACAGGACTTCCCGCTCATCGAGACTGAAGACAAAGCTTTACTGCGCAGACTCAGAGGTAACCACCCTCCTTTACCTGCACCTCTTCTTACACCTCATCCCTTTGTTCTCTTCCTCTTACTTTAACTCCTCCTCCTCCCTTTCCCTGTCTGCACCTCCTTTTACTGCTCCTGTTTCTGTCGTCAAAGGTTATTTTAAAAAGAATCTGGTCCATGAGAAGGAGGGACAGCAGGAGCGCTCCTGGTACCCCTCAAACCACCTGTGCTCATGAAGGGAATACTTACACTCAGACCAGAAACCATGTGTATAAATGATCCAGGTTAAATATAAAAGGCTTTTAAGTGATAAGCTAGAAACATTTCAAATAGGCCAACGTGTGTGGCCTAGTGGGTGAAAAAAAGGTGCAAGCTGATAGGCATTGGTTTATTTGAAATGTTTATAATTCCTAGACCTGGATCATTTATACCCATGTTTTGTTGTCTGAAGTTTTCCTCCACTTTTCCATGTCAGCCTAATTCAACGTTTCTACCCCCCTCTCTACCCCCCTCCTGCTCCTCCAGCTGACATCCAGCAGAAGGACAGGGAGGTGCTGGAGCTCCTGCAGGAGCGGGTCACTCTGTTTTCGGACCTGGTGGAGGCAACAGGAAGAGGCACAACAGATGAAGAAGATGGTTTGGACCTCAGCACCTCCTCCTCAAGGACCTCCTCCTCCTCCTGCAGGAACCTGTTCAGAGCCGACACTCCTCATGCTCCTCAGGCTGAGCCGCTCCTCAGTGCCTCCATCGCTGAAGGTCAGTGTTTGTTTTCCCTGTCTTGTGAAATCAACCTCAGGATGGCACTGAACCAAATCTCTGTGTTTCTTGATGATTTCAGTGGACAGACTGACGGAGCTGCTGCTCGACTCCAACATCCAGAAATCCACTGTAACCAACGGCAACCAGGAGCTGAGCAGTGAGTCACCCTTACCTGACAGGTGTAATAAGTAGACAGGTGTGATAAGTAGACAGGTGTGATAAGTAGACAGGTGTGATAAGTAGACAGGTGTGATAAGTAGACAGGTGTAATAAGTAGAAAAGTGTGATCAGTAGACAGGTGTAATAAGTAGACAGGTGTGATCAGCAGACAGGTATCTGTGCTGTGTAGAATAATGCTGCCCTGTAGAGTTTGACAGATGATCAGGTGTTTAAACATTCACCTGTCGATCTTCATGTGTCTTTCTTCCTCTCAGATGGTGACTCTGGTTCTCTGAACGGTTCTGTCGGCTCAAAGAGCTCCTCACAGGTAAGTCTTCACCTGTAACTTTATTTAAAAACACAGCAGGTCAAACTGTCAGCTTTGTTGTCAAACATGAAAAATAAAATGTCAACAAGCGGGACGATCCTTTTCTAATTGATAATAATCAATGATGTGTTCATGCTTTACTCACGGTGTCTAGACTTTGGGGTTTCCATGGAAACAGGTGTTACAGGTTGTAAACTGATGGATTTGGTGGGTTTGGTTTTCTTTTAGGACAGAAACGGAAACCAGCTGCAGGAGGGAACGCTCGGCCAGGTAACCATCTAACCTGTGTTCCAGATGTCTCACCTGCCTGCTCCCTCAAACTGTCATATGATGTCATGTCTGTCCAATCAGAGCTTAGGTTACTCATTATCACCTGTCCTCTCCGTAGGGGATCTGTCAGCGATTGATCAGTCTGAGCACACACCTGCACGCTCTGCAGGTACCTTATCATATTATTAGCATATTACCTGTGAACTGAAGTACAACATCTCACCTAGATACTTATAAACTCCGCCCCTAGGCTGCTGTGATTCGTCAGGACTCGATCCTGGAGCTGTCAGTCACAACAGGTGCCTCTTTCTCTACCTCTGGCCCTGCCCCGCCACGACTCAGTCGATCCATGTCCCGGGACGCAGGTATGGACTCCAGCGGAGAGGCGGAGCTGCTGCGGCGACAGGTGGGGCTGCTGCAGGAGGAAGTGACACGACTGCGTCTGAGGAGGGAGGAGCCTGGTGGAGAGGGGGTGGAGTCAGGCAGCAGGAACAAAAGCAATGGAGAGATCAGTGATGGCATCAAGAAAGAACAGGTGAGTTAGGAGTTCACCTTAAACAGGATGAACTTACCCACGATCAACTCTAACTAAAGAGTCTGTGTCAGCAGGTGAGCAGGAGGCGTGGCAGCAGGGAACAGGAGCCCTGCCCCCTAGCCCCATTGGCCGTCCAGGATCCTGTCGACCAATTAGACGGTGTACAGGAAGAACATGAGGAGGAGGGATTGGAGATGATGAGGATCTCTCTCGCTCTGACAGCCCAGAGGTCAGAACAACTCGCTAATAGTTTTATCCTTAAAGTCATTTTGATTTTTCTGTTATTTTTGTCATCTCCATGGTAACCTGTGATCTGCCCATTCAGACCTGCAGGACATCCCAGAGGAGAGCGAGTGTGGAGCTGATCCCACCTAACATGACACCTCTGCCAGTGATGTCACCGTGATGTCACCGTGATGTCATGGAGATGTCACAGACAAACAGGGACAGAAGACTGATTAGACTGTCAGACTTTTATTGTGAAAGTTTGAGCTGGATATTATGTCATATCCTGATATCTGACGTGCTGTCATCATTTGTTCCTGAAGGGATTTCTAAATATGACCTGTTTACATCATAACATCAGCTGGAAAGTTTAAGGGGGGGGGGGGGTCTGAGTGATTAAGCTACATTGATAGTCATCACACTACATTTCATTTAAAACAGTTTATATATGATTATGACATCAGTTTATCATCATAAACTGTGGCAGGCGAGGGGGGGAGGGGGTGAATGGACAGAAAGCATCCCTGCTGTCTGTTAGCATGTTAGCATGTATCTGTATAGAATCTGAACGTATTGTGACTTCCTGGTTGGTTTTAACCAATCAGCTGGTTTGAGGATGTTTTTATAGAAACGTTAACTCTGATGATATTTTAACCTAAACACTTTAATCTGCAGAGCAGAACTGTAATGTGATGATGGACAGCAGCAGCTGTTGCAGACTATGAAGTAAAAATAAAAGTTAAATAAACGAATTTCAGAATAAAACGTGAGGATCAGCTCAGCTCTTTAAACTGAAGGAACCAACGTTTCCATGGAAACCAACGATCACTGACTCTTATCTGATGCTGGATGAAATGAACTCTTTTACCATCACCTGCACTAAAAACCTGTCGACACAAAGATCCTCTGTTAGGACAGATGCTCGCTCTGTGATGTTTTCATGTTTGACAGATGTCCAAAGTTCAGACTGAAACCAGAGTCAAAGTAAAATCTGAAGAACTTCTAAAGTACTTTTTACTCCGAACCTTTAAAACATTTGACTGAAGTTAATTTGTGTAAAAATATTGATCATGAATCTGTAAATGTTTGTTGTCGTTGTGTCGTGTGCTCTTGATTATTCTAATCAGCTGGACAGCGTGCTGTAGGTTTTTATTTCTGTACGTCATCGCTCTGATTATAACTTTATTATACATTATTATTTTATGAAGTAAAAATTTAAATAATAATAAAACAGTCGCAGTGAGTATTTTGTCCTTTTTTTCATCCTCTAAGTGTTTGACTTGATGTAATCTTTTATAAAAGTCAATGACTTCAGATGAAGCCGTTTAAACTCTGCGCTGACCTACTTTTAATCTGGTAGAGTCCTGGTACTTCGTCACTTCCGGTGGAGGGAACTTAACCCGGAAGTGGGTGTCGTCCTATTAGGGAGTTGTCTGAATAGATCCGAGTAGCAGGACCGGGACAGACCGGAGCAGAGAGGAACATCAGAGGGTCACCGAGCCGCCGTCTGCCCGCGACTTTAATCCAACGTTACTGATAAAACACTTTATTCAGGTTAAAACCCGGAAGTTAGCTCAGTTAGCTGCTAACGGCTAGTCAGCCTACCTGCTCAAAGGGAAGTGACGGTGCAGGTGAAGTCGGGCTCGAGCCGCAGGTTTGCTTTCATCTCTGTACTCAGACAGGTGAGAATAATCCTCAGGTACAGCTCACCTGGTGTCTGTCAGCTGTGAGCTCAGTGAGCATGCTAACGGGGCGGTGCCGCTGTTAGCATCAGGAGCTAACGTGCTAACTCTGTTTATAATGTTTATAATGTTCTTCATGATGCTACTTTATCAGAGTTATTGAAATTAAACTTTCACTAATAAATAAAAACTTCAAACTCAGCTCAGAGTTTGATGTTTTTATATAAATTAATCGATCATTCATGTTTAATAATCAACAAGTCAACAGAACCTCACATCGGCCAACACATCGGTGTCACTTCCTGTCTGCTCTCAGCTGATTGGCTCCTGCAGAGTTCTGATTCATTCAGTAAGGAAGTGGCACCGCCTCGTGTTAGTGACCCTCCGGCTCAGAGGGGGGCGCTGACGAGCCTCTGGCCATGAGAAAATTTAACAACGTAACAAAAGTCACCTGAACACATCGTTCAGTTACACCAGCTCGCACCACGAATGTGTCACATGACCCGAAGTTAAATATGTTGCTAATGACCAAAGGTCGGGTTAGTATGCAGCGTACACCTGTACGCTCACCAGCTGACTGTTTGTCCTTCAGCAGAAGAAGATGAGTGGAGGACTGAACAGCATCGATGCTGTGAAGAAGAAGATCAAAGTCCTGCAGGAGCAGGCGGAGGAGGCGGAGGAGAGGGCGGAGAAACTGCAGTCGGAGGTGGACAAGGAGAAGAGGAGCAGAGAGGAGGTACACACACCTGTAGAGAGAGGAGGTACACACACCTGTAGAGAGAGGAGGTACACACACCTGTAGAGAGAGGAGGTACACACACCTGTAGAGAGAGGAGGTACACACACCTGTGTAGAGAGGAGGTACACACACCTGTAGAGAGAGGAGGTACACACACCTGTAGAGAGAGGAGGTACACACACCTGTGTAGAGAGAGGAGGTACACACACCTGTAGAGAGAGGAGGTACACACACCTGTACGTGTAGAGAGGAGGTACACACACCTGTACGTGTAGAGAGGAGGTGCACACACCTGTAGAGAGAGGAGGTACACACACCTGTAGAGAGAGGAGGTACACACACCTGTACGTGTAGAGAGGAGGTGCACACACCTGTACGTGTAGAGAGGAGGTGCACACACCTGTACGTGTAGAGAGGAGGTGCACACACCTGTACGTGTAGAGAGGAGGTGCACACACCTGTACGTGTAGAGAGGAGGTACACACACCTGTAGAGAGAGGAGGTACACACACCTGTACGTGTAGAGAGGAGGTGCACACACCTGTACGTGTAGAGAGGAGGTGCACACACCTGTACGTGTAGAGAGGAGGTGCACACACCTGTACGTGTAGAGAGGAGGTGCACACACCTGTAGAGAGAGGAGGTACACACACCTGTAGAGAGAGGAGGTACACACACCTGTACGTGTAGAGAGGAGGTACACACACCTGTAGAGAGAGGAGGTACACACACCTGTACGTGTAGAGAGGAGGTGCACACACCTGTACGTGTAGAGAGGAGGTGCACACACCTGTACGTGTAGAGAGGAGGTGCACACACCTGTACGTGTAGAGAGGAGGTGCACACACTGTACGTGTAGAGAGGAGGTACACACACCTGTACGTGTAGAGAGGAGGTGCACACACCTGTACGTTGATTCTCTGTATGTTGCAGGCGGAGGCGGAGGTGACGGCTCTGGTCGTCGTCTGCAGCTCAGCGAGGAGAACCTGGACGAGCCCAGGACCGCCTGACCACCGCCCTGCAGAAACTGGACGAGGTGGAGAAGTCTGCAGACGAGAGCGAAAGGTAAGACTCACCTGAGACACACAACGATCTCTGCTAGTATGTTCCTGTCTCATTTCGTGTGTGTGTGTGTGTGTGTGTGTGTGTGTGTGTGTGTGTGTGTGTGTGTGTGTGTGTGTGTGTGTGTGTGTGTGTGTGTGTGTGTGTGTGTGTGTGGTGTGTGTGTGTGTGTGTGTGTGTGTGTGTGTGTGTGTGTGTGTGTGTGTGTGTGTGTGTGTGTGTGTGTGTGTGTGTGTGTGTGTGTGTGTGTGTGTGTGTGTGTGTGTGTGTGTGTGTCAGGGGGATGAAGGTGATAGAGAACAGGGCTCTGAAGGATGAGGAGAAGATGGAGCAACTTGAGGTTCACCTGAGAGAAGCCAAACTGATCGCAGAGGAGGCGGACCGCAAGTATGAGGAGGTAATACACACAGTACACTACACACAGTACACTACACACAGTACACTACACACAGTACAGTACACTACACACAGTACACTACACACAGTACACTACACTACACACAGTACACTACACACAGTACACTACACTACACTACACACAGTACACTACACACAGTACACTACACACAGTACACTACACACAGTACACTACACTAGACACAGTACACTACACTAGACACAGTACACTACACACAGTACACTACACACAGTACACTACACTAGACACAGTACACTACACACAGTACACTACACACAGTACACTACACACAGTACACTACACACAGTACACTACACTAGACACAGTACACTACACACAGTACACTACACACAGTACACTACACACAGTACACTACACTAGTGGTGGTCAAGTCAAACGTGTCTCTGCTCATAAAAATCTTTGAACCGCAATGCATGATGGGATATATTACTTGGATAGGACCATTGTTGTACACTACTTTTCACAATGCATTGTGGGATACATTGAGTGGACTTCAGGGTATGACCACACTCACAGCACTACAAAATGGTGTGTTCACTACATCGTGGATGTTTGATGACATCGTGGATGTTTGATGACATCGTGGATGTTTGATGACATCATCGATGTTTGATGACATCATCGATGTGTGGCTGATGGCTGAGCTCTTCATTTTAATCTGATGGTTGTGTTTGTCCCAGGTGGCTCGTAAACTGACGATGTTGGAGGGAGATCTGGAACGAGCTGAAGAGAGAGCTGAGCACGCAGAGAGGTACACACACACACACACACACACACACACACACACACACACACACACACACACACACACACACCTGTGCATGTCTGCTTCTTACAGCATGAGCTGCTTAGCCAGACAGATGGGCAGTAGAGAGACAAACAGGCAGGTAGAGAGACAGACGGGTAGAGAGACAGACGGGTAGTAGAGAGACAAACAGGCAGGTAGAGAGACAGATGGGTAGTAGAGAGACAAACAGGCAGGTAGAGAGACAGACGGGTAGTAGAGAGACAAACAGGCAGGTAGAGACAGACGGGTAGTAGAGAGACAGATGGGTAGAGAGACAGATGGGCAGAGACAGACAGGTAGAGAGAGAGACAGACATTGATACTGTCTGGGCTGTAGCTTCATTCAGTGAATACACACAGGAGGGTGACGAAGAGGTGGGGGGTCAGGGGTCAGGGGTCAGGGGGGGTAAAAGATCTTCATGTGATGAATAGTGTTAAAATACTTACAGTACCAGAGAACATTTTAATGTGAGCGGCCGCCACAGTTGAGGTAATTAATGGGAAACACTGGATGTCATACTGATGACCTCATCGTGATGTCACACTCCTTCACTTACAGAGCTAATCCTTCTGCATCCATCTTTCTCTTCCTGTCTGTTTCCATGGAAACATGTTGCTGCTGCTGCACGTCCTGCTTCCTGTCTGTCCACCTCTCTGTCTGTCTGTCCACCTCTCTGTCCACCTGTCTGTCTGTCTGTCCACCTCTCTGTCTGTCTGTCCACCTCTCTGTCCACCTGTCTGTCTGTCCACCTCTCTGTCCACCTGTCTGTCTGTCCACCTCTCTGTCACCTCTCTGTCTGTCCACCTGTCTGTCTGTCCACCTGTCTGTCTGTCCACGTGTCTAACAGTAAGGTTCGAAGGTTGGAGGAGCAGTTGAGAAGTTTCGACCAATCACTGAAGAGCCTGCAGGCATCTGAGGACAAGGTACTGAAGGTCACCTGACCTCCAACCTCCTGTCAACCAATCAGAGCTCCTCCTGCCTCACCTGACCTCTGACCTTCTGCTTCAGCTCCTCCTCCTGCTGCACTCTGCATGGCTTTCCCTGCTGCCGACACTAAACTTCAAAAAAACTAAAACAAACTAGCTCAGTAGGGACTCGGGTTGGGAACCAGAGGGTCGCGGGTTCAAGTCCTGGACCAAAGTATGTTAGCTGGAGAGGTAGCAGCACCTCTCTGCCCTCTCTCACTGAATTCATGTCCACAGATCCTGAGTCTCTAAATATCAGTTTAACATGATAATACAATATGTACAACTACACACAGTACACACTGTCTGTCTGACACACCATGACTCGGCACACCTGTCTGTCTGACACACCTTGACTCAGCACACCTGTCTGTCTAACACACCATGACTCACACCTGTCTGTCTGACACACCATGACTCAGCACACCATCTGACACACCATGACTCAGCACACCTGTCTGTCTGACACACATGACTCAGCACACCTGTCTGTCTGACACACCATGACTCAACACCTGTCTGTCTGACACACCATGACTCAACACCTGTCTGTCTGACACACATGACTCAGCACACCTGTCTGTCTGACACACCATGACTCAGCACACCTGTCTGTCTGTCTGATACACCATGACTCAGCACACCTGTCTGTCTGTCTGATACACCATGACTCAGTACACCTGTCTGTCTGATACACCATGACTCAGCACACCTGTCTGACACACCATAAATCAACACCTGTCTGTCTGACACACCATGACTCAGCACACCCGTCTGACACACCATAAATCAACACCTGTCTGTCTGACACACCATGACTCAGCACACCTGTCTGTCTGACACACCATGACTCAGCACACCTGTCTGACTGACACACCATGACTCAGCACCTGTCTGACTGACACACCATGACTCAGCACACCTGTCTGTCTGTCTGATACACCATGACTCAGCACACCTGTCTGTCTGACACACCATGACTCAGCACACCTGTCTGACTGACACACCATGACTCAGCACACCTGTCTGTCTGTCTGATACACCATGACTCAGCACACCTGTCTGACTGACACACCATGACTCAGCACACCTGTCTGTCTGTCTGATACACCATGACTCAGCACACCTGTCTGTCTGTCTGATACACCATGACTCAGCACACCTTTCTTGACAACCTGTGCCTCTGTCTGTGCAGTAAGAGTCGAGCGATGGAGGAGGAGCTGAAAAATGTCTTCACTAGTTCAAAGTCAATGGAGGCCCAGGCAGAGAAGGTAGGAGGAGGACTTAATGTTTTCACCTGTAGATCAGGGAGGAGAAACCCACACCTGAAGCAGGTGCTATTATCAGTCAGGTGACTGACGCTTAGGGCCTTTTTCAAACCAACCCTCTTTGATCCTCAGATTCATATTTAAAGTTGTTAACGTCTGGATGATGATATTAAATGGAGCAGTGTTTGGAGGCACAGAACTTACAGGTTGCCTCCTCCATAACGACCCCCCCCCCCCATTGGTTTGGGACGGCCTAAATATGGCAGACCCCCCGTGTTGCAGACGGAGGGGTTGTGTGTAGGGAGAGGGTGTAGTGGTTTGAGAAAGACCCTTACAGAGATGTCCTGGTAGCTCATTGGCTGATCAGTACGCCTGGTTCTCTGATTGGCTGTCTCTCTATCTCTTAGTATTCGTTGAAGGAGGACATATACGAAAAGGAGATCAAACAGCTGAGCGGCAAACTGAAGGAGGTGAGATCATACTTTTATTTATGTGACTTTAACATCACTTCCTGTTTGTCACCTGTAAACTTCCTGTTCCAGGCGGAATCCAGAGCAGACACTACGGAGCGTAGCAAGGTTAGCCTGGAGAAAACCATCGACAGCTTGCAAGGTGAGATTAGCAGGACAGTCCTGCCTTCTGATTGGACAGCAAGACTTGGTTGGTTGTTGGGTGGGACTAGCTGATTGAAGGTGGGACTAGCTGATTGAAGGTGGGACTAGCTGATTGAAGGTGGGACTAGCTGATTGAAGGTGGGACTAGCTGATTGGGGGTGGGACTTTCTGATTGAGGGCTGGACTAGCTCATTAAAGGTGGGACTAGCTGATTGGGGCGGGACTATCTGATTAAAGGCGGGGCTTATTTGTCCTCGAGTGACTGTTGTCGATGTTCTGTTTGCAGACGCTTTGACTTCAGCCAGAAACGCCAAGGCACAGCTGCAGGAGACTTTGCATAACTACATGGAGGAGCTAAACTCATGCTGAACCCCCCCCCCCCCCCCCCGACTGCTGTCAGAGTCTTTGTGGCCAAAACATTCCTCCCCTTGCTCCAGTTGACCCCCCCCCCGCTCGGGGTGAACATTACTGCTTCTTTATTTCCTCTTTCTTAATGATTCCTGCTCCTCTGGATTTGGAGTGTTTGATTAACCCCTCCCCCCCTCTCCTCACCCACTAATAGTGCCATCCCCCTCCTCAGTATTAAATGGAGGAGGTGTGAGGAGGTGCAGGATGTTTAACAGCGACTTACAGCCATTCCCTCGTTCATTAACGACTAACAATGAGTGTTTGAACGGTTTGTCTCCTAGCCAATCGTTTATTATTCCTGTTGCAGGGGGTGTGGTTTATAGTGGCCAATCATAGCAAGGCATTCCACTGCCACACATGGCAGACCACAAGCCAATCTCAGCCCAGATACACCCCCCATTAACAACAATGAACAAATAAAGTTTAACAAAGTTTTTATTCTAAAGCCACACAGTGATGATGTCATAGCATATTGTAATAAATCTTGAGACAGAGCAGATTTTATAAAATAAAAGCACCATCACTGGTTTGTAGATCCATCATGACTCAGTGTGTTTTCTTTTCTTCAAGTTTCTGTTCATCCTTACAGGTGTGTTGACACATTTATGATGTCATACCCCTAAGTCCCAACAAGTTTGACTACCTACTACTCATTTGTCCACAAGGGGGCATTCCTGAGTTTTGAAGCTCTACAGAATAAACAGTTTGGGAAGGGATTTTCCGTGAAAACACTGTGGAAAGATTCAAAGTTAAACATCCTGTCTGATCATGTTTACTGTTTGGTAGCCAGAGGTAAAGATGTTTAGAGAAATGTGCTTGAAGGTAACTTCATCCAGCTCTCTGCTTCATTATTATCTCAAACAACATTAAAGTGACAGCTGATCAACACATGTAATAAGAAAGGGAATATAAACTTAATGAAAACCAGCAGGAGATAAAACATCAGGTTCATATATTGATAATGTTTCATATTTAATGATAGAAGAGAAAATATGGTCATCCTTGATGACTGTATGATGATGTTCTCTCAGACTCTGAGAGCTGCCTGCACAGTGACTGTCCTTCACATCACCTCTTGGTGGAACATGGTAAGACCTGTTCTGCAAATTCATCCCATTTCTAAAAAGGGACTGAAGGTTGGGAGCAACAGAACATAGATATCAACAAGTAATTGTTTTTCTTATTGTTTACTTCTTTAGTCTGAATGATAAAATCTTCTGTAAATTCACATTTTGAAGCTGATATTTAAAAAAAAAAAAGTCTAAATTAAATTATTCTCTGCTGTTCCTCATAAAAAGAACATTTCAAAAAAATAAAGTATAAAATGATCATCAGTGAGGACACGCCTCCTGTTCTCACCTGAGTGATGTCATCATTATTGTCTTGTTATATTAAAAGCTCACCTGTTCAGACTCTGAGGTCAAAAAAAACTCATTCAGAACCTGAACCAGGTTTTAAAGGTAAAAGGTTTTTAATGTTTCTCAGGTGAGTCACTCGATGTTTGTTTGTTTACAGCTGCTGGAAAACAAACAAACTGTTTACAAACGTCTAAAGAATAATTCACAGCATCAAAGTCCAGGTGAGAATCTCCCATCATCCTTTGCAGACTCCGGTTTAAAGAACAGCTGATTCCTCCGCAAGCTTCAGGATTGGCTGCAGCTGCTCTTCTAACGAGGGGGCGTTGACCTCGTTAGTGATGATCCAATCAAATTCAACGCCGCTGTCAAGGCCGCACTCTGACTCTGCATCATCCACACCTGAGAGACAGACAGGTGAGCAGACAGGCAGGTGTTCAGACAGACAGGTGAGCAGACAGACAGACAGGAGAGTTGTCAGACAGACAGACAGGTGTTCAGACAGACAGACAGGAGAGTAGTCAGACAGACAGGTGTTCAGACAGACAGACAGGTGAGCAGACAGACAGACAGGTAAGTAGTCAGACAGACAGACAGACAGGAGAGTAGTCAGACAGACAGACAGGTGTTCAGACAGACAGACAGGTGAGCAGACAGACAGACAGACATGTATTCAGACATATAGGTGAGCAGACAGACAGACAGGTGAGCAGAAAGACAGACAGGAGAGTAGTCAGACAGACAGGTGTTCAGACAGACAGGTGTTCAGACAGACAGACAGGTGAGTAGTCAGACAGACAGACAGGTGTTCAGACAGACAGGTGTTCAGACAGACAGACAGACAGACAGGTGAGCAGACAGACAGACAGGTGAGTAGTCAGACAGACAGACAAGTGTTCAGACAGACAGGTGAGCAGACAGACAGGTTGTCTCACCTGCAGTGAAGCTCCACCCCCTCTGTCTGCGTGTTTCTTCTGAACTTTGAACCCGGACAGTTCGGGTCTGTTGTGGAAACCTGGACTTGAACCAGGTCAGGTCTGACAGCCGCCGTGCGTCACTCACCACCTGACCAATCACAGAGCAGGTTTCTACAGGTACATGGTTGCTAGGTAACGCTGATGGTTTAAGTTACATACCCACACTGGTTGCAGAGCTCCTCTGGTTGCTAGGCGACAGAAGAATCCGGGGTCTTGACGACGTCGGCTTTCTCCCCAACAGATCATATCGCCACGGTAACGCTCCTTATAGGGACCAGGACCCAGCAGCTGGTCCAGGTCCAGACCGTGTTCCTACAGAAGCAACATGTAAAACATCTGTTTCTATGGCAACAAGCTGCGTGTGTCTGAAGGTCTCACCTGAGCGTATTGATGTTTGAGAGGTCCGGACAGACGCAGGACGCAGCAAACGCCCCGCCCCAAACTGTAGAAGAAGAAATTATGTCATAGACCTGAAAGGACCCCCTATATACTGGACCAACAGGACCCCCTATATACTGGACCAACAGGACCCCCTATATACTGGACCAACAGGACCCCCTATATACTGGACCAACAGGACCCCCTATATACTGGACCAACAGGACCCCCTATATACTGGACCAACAGGACCCCCTATATACTGGACCAACAGGACCCCTATATACTGGACCAACAGGACCCCCTATATACTGGACCAACAGGACCCCCTATTGTCCTGTTGTGACAATGTGTCGAGATGAATATGTTAGTTTGAATGACTCCACTCCTCCAAGTCGTTTTAATTCTCATGTACCTCGAGACACCGGACGAGGTGGTGGAGGAGCAGCTATTTTTAATTCTGGACTCTAACCCCTAACCCCCCCCTAACCCCTCTAACCCCCCTAACCCCTCTAACCCCTAACCCTTCTAACCCCTAACCCCCCTAAACCCCCCTAACCCCCTAACCCCTAACCCCTAACCCCCCTAAACCCCCTAACCCCCCTAACCCCCTAACCCTTCTAACCCCTAACCCCCCTAAACCCCCTAACCCCCCCTAACCCCCCTAACCCCCCTAACCCCTCTAATCTGATGAAGAGAAATGGGACGCAGCCAGCTGTTCTCACTGCGTCTTTTCTACCTGACAGGTCCGGACCGGAGTTCTCTGATGGGTCGGCCTGACTCATTCTGGGTCATGGACTCGGGTCATGGTCTTTAATAATCTTCCACACGTCCCTGACTCACCGCTCCTGGATCCGGTCCGTAATGAAGTCTTTTCCGGACTTTCGTTTCCCGCTGAAGACCAGGACCAGTCTAGGTTCAGGTCCGGGTCCAGAGACTCGGTCCTCCATCAGTGTGGTGACCTGCAGCTCGTCAGTCAGCAGCATGTTCCGACTGTGGGACCGGCCCGACACCTACCGTAACTCTGGGGGTAGAAGTGGGAGCTTCCGGTCTTGATCGGTATCATTGGGAGTCCACAGTAACAGGATCCTCTTTCTGCTTCCGTGTTTTACACACTTTACGGTAACACGTGATCATCGTCTCATGCTGGACTGAACCATTGCAGCTGAATGAGGGGGGGGTATTAAAAATATGAAAACACTCAAATATTTAAACATAAAGAAGAGATCAAAGGGTACCGACTGCTATGGGTTAGGGTTAGATATCATGACGTCATCACTTTATTCATGTTATTATTGGACACCAGTTACCAATCAATAAAGAGTCTTTGTTGGCTTTGGGAAACTTTCTAAAAAGACTTTGAATAAATATGAGACGAGTCCGTCTCTGCCTGCTGATTTGTTGTTTTTCAAGAGATAAACATCCTACCCTTTTTAACGTTGGTATGATCCAGGCGTGACGTCATCACGTCCTGACCAAGATGGCGGCCGCCGTGTTCCGGAGAGCAGAGGGTTCTTCAGTGACGCGTTTCTTTCAGTCGGTGAGAAAACTTTGATTTAATAAAGAGACCAAAATGTGACGTCACACACACACACACACACACACACAGGGGCTGTAGCATCACCTGGCAGGTGACGACGCTCTCCTGCAGTGTGAACTTTGACCCAGTGAACTCAGTGAACGTGCCTGTCAGCGCGTGCACGCGATCAAACAGCTGATTGTTTATTTTCGTCTTTCTGCAGTTCTGAAGCTTTTATTTTGAAAAATGTTCAAATTGTATCCATCATAACAACAATAATAACAACAGTAATTCGAATAACAATAACAACAATAATAAAGAGGAGAAACAGCAGGGGTCCGTAAAGTGAATGATTATTTTGAACTGATATCATCCTTCATCTTTCAACAGAAACATCTTAAAAAGTGATTTTAAGATGTTAAATGATGAATATCTTCTGATGTCTTTGAATGATAGTTTCATGTGAATGTTTAGTGTCTCCATGCCGCTCTGTCTGTTATCATCAGAGCTGAAATAAAAACTGTTATTGTCTAGAAAGAGTCAGAGACATCCGACCAATCAGAGAGCTCCACCATCAACAGATCTGATATATAGTACACTTTCTATAATTTCTATATAATACAATTCATCCAAACGGCATTACAAGAACAGAAGGTACAAGACTGTGCATCATCTTCACCCGGAGTCAAGGAATTACACATCCCATAATCCTCTAAAAGTATCTGTAGTGTTTGTTATGATGTCATATTATATTTATAAACTACACATCCCATAATCCTCTAAAAGTATCTGTAGTGTTTGTTATGATGTCATATTATATTTATAAACTACACATCCCATAATCCTCTAAAAGTATCTGTAGTGTTTGTTATGATGTCATATTATATTTATAAACTACATATCCCATAATCCTCTAAAAGTATCTGTAGTGTTTGTTATGATGTCATATTATATTTATAAACTACATATCCCATAATCCTCTAAAAGTATCTGTAGTGTTTGTTATGATGTCATATTATATTTATAAACTACACATCCCATAATCCTCTAAAAGTATCTGTAGTGTTTGTTATGATGTCATATTATATTTATAAACTACACATCCCATAATCCTCTAAAAGTATCTTCAGTGTTTGTTATGATGTCATATTATATTTATAAACTACACATCCCATAATCCTCTAAAAGTATCTTCAGTGTTTGTTATGATGTCATATTATATTTATAAACTACACATCCCATAATCCTCTAAAAGTATCTTCAGTGTTTGTTATGATGTCATATTATATTTATAAACTACACTCACTGCAGCATGACGAGCTTATTAGCATATTTACTGTTAGCTAGCTAACTAGCTAACATGCTAGTGAAACATGTTGGCCTAAGGTGCAGAGGGGCGGGACACATTGTCATGGTAACAGTGAGCTCCACCAATCAGAGGCGTGGCTGTGACTCTAGATGTTCTCTCTGTTACAGTCATGGTTCCACAGCTCGCCGGCGCCCCAGCAGTCCGGTTCCCCTCAGAGGTTCTTCGCCCCGGCTGATGGCGTCATGCTACCGACAGGAAGCTTTAAAGACAGAGTGGCGTTCATCACAGGGGGGGGGACGGGTCTGGGTCGAGCCATGACCACCACGCTGTCCATGCTGGGGGCTCAGTGTGTCATCGCCAGCAGGAAGCTCGATGTCCTGCAGCAAACAGCCAATGAGATCAGCAGCCAGACCGGAAACCAGGTGACCAGATCCACACAGAACTAGATCCACACAGAACCAGATCCACACAGAACCAGATCCACACAGAACTAGATCCACACAGAACTAGATCCACACAGAACCAGATCCACACAGAACCAGATCCACACTGAACCAGATCCACACAGAACTAGATCCACACAGAACCAGATCCACACAGAACTAGATCCACACTGATCCAGATCCACACTGAACCAGATCCACACAGAACTAGATCCACACTGAACCAGATCCACACAGAACCAGATCCACACAGAACTAGATCCACACTGAACCAGATCCACACTGAACCAGATCCACACTGAACCAGATCCACACAGAACTAGATCCACACTGAACCAGATCCACACTGAACCAGATCCACACAGAACTAGATCCACACTGAACCAGATCCACACAGAACTAGATCCACACTGAACCAGATCCACACTGAACCAGATCCACACAGAACTAGATCCACACTGAACCAGATCCACACAGAACTAGATCCACACTGATCCAGATCCACACTGAACCAGATCCACACTGAACCAGATCCACACTGAACCAGATCCACACAGAACCAGATCCACACTGAACCAGATCCACACAGAACCAGATCCACACAGAACTAGATCCACACTGATCCAGATCCACACTGAACCAGATCCACACAGAACTAGATCCACACTGAACCAGATCCACACTGAACCAGATCCACACAGAACCAGATCCACACAGAACTAGATCCACACTGAACCAGATCCACACTGAACCAGATCCACACAGAACCAGACTAACTGCCCTCCCCCTGTCTTCAGGTCTATGCGGTTCAGTGTGACGTCAGAGATCCACAGGCCGTCTCTCACTGTGTGGACCAGATGGAGACTATGACTGGACTTCCTGATGTAACAAGACACACACACACACACACACACACACACACACACACACACACACACACACACACACACACACACACACACACACACACACACACACACACACACACACACACACACACACACACACACACACACACACACATAACTGGTCTCAGACTGACCCTTGTGGAGAAAGAAAATATCTGTACAAATGTTAGATCCAATCAGAGGGCAGCTTCAGTGAGAAGTTTTTGATTACTGAGTCAGTTTTCTTAAGATATGAAGCTGCAGGTAGAGGTCTCAGGTGTGAAGCTGCAGGTAGAGGTCTCAGGTGTGAAGCTGCAGGTAGAGGTCTCAGGTGTGAAGTTGCAGGTAGAGGTCTCAGGTGTGAAGCTGCAGGTAGAGGTCTCAGGTGTGAAGCTGCAGCTAGAGGTCTCAGGTGTGAAGCTGCAGGTAGAGGTCTCAGGTGTGAAGCTGCAGGTAGAGGTCTCAGGTGTGAAGTTGCAGGTAGAGGTCTCAGGTATGAAGCTGCAGGTAGAGGTCTCAGGTATGAAGATGCAGGTAGAGGTCTCAGGTGTGAAGCTGCAGGTAGAGGTCTCAGGTATGAAGCTGCAGGTAGAGGTCTCAGGTATGAAGATGCAGGTAGAGGTCTCAGGTATGAAGGTGCAGGTAGAGGTCTCAGGTCTGAAGCTGCAGGTAGAGGTCTCAGGTAGAGGTCTCAGGTGTGAAGCTGCAGGTAGAGGTCTCAGGTGTGAAGCTGCAGGTAGAGGTCTCAGGTGTGAAGCTGCAGGTAGAGGTCTCGGGTATGAAGGTGCAGGTAGAGGTCTCAGGTCTGAAGCTGCAGGTAGAGGTCTCAGGTAGAGGTCTCAGGTCTGAAGCTGCAGGTAGAGGTCTCGGGTATGAAGGTGCAGGTAGAGGTCTCCGGTGTGAAGATGCAGGTAGAGTTCTCAGGTATGAAGCTGCAGGTAGAGGTCTCAGGTATGAAGCTGCAGGTAGAGGTCTCAGGTAGAGGTCTGAGGTCTGAAGCTACAGGTAGAGGTCTCGGGTATGAAGGTGCAGGTAGAGGTCTCAGGTGTGAAGCTGCAGGTAGAGGTCTCGGGTATGAAGGTGCAGGTAGAGGTCTCAGGTCTGAAGCTGCAGGTAGAGGTCTCAGGTCTGAAGCTACAGGTAGAGGTCCAGGTGTGAAGCTGCAGGTAGAGGTCTCAGGTGTGAAGCTGCAGGTAGAGGTCTCAGGTGTGAAGCTGCAGGTAGAGGTCTCAGGTAGAGGTCTCAGGTATGAAGCTGCAGGTAGAGGTCTCAGGTGTGAAGCTGCAGGTAGAGGTCTCAGGTGTGAAGCTGCAGGTAGAGGTCTCAGGTAGAGGTCTCAGGTATGAAGCTGCAGGTAGAGGTCTCAGGTGTGAAGCTGCAGGTAGAGGTCTCAGGTATGAAGCTGCAGGTAGAGGTCTCGGGTGTGAAGCTGCAGGTAGAGGTCTCAGGTATGAAGCTGCAGGTAGAGGTCTCAGGTATGAAGCTGCAGGTAGAGGTTTCAGGTATGAAGCTGCTGGTAGAGGTCTCAGGTGTGAAGATTCAGGTAGAGGTCTCAAGTAGAGGTCTCAGGTATGAAGCTGCAGGTAGAGGTCTCAGGTAAACTATTCTCACTACATGGTAAACCCTACTGTTCACTGATTGGTGCAGGTGATCATCAACAACGCAGCAGGAAACTTTGTATGTCCGTCTGAACGTTTGTCGCCAAACGGCTGGAAGAGCATCACAGACATCGTCCTGAACGGGACCGCCTACATCACTCTGGAGCTCGGCAAGAGACTGATCAAGAAGCAGAAAGGTCAGAGAGCCGTCCAGAAACAGCTGTAGTTCCTGTTGTTTGAATGTTCACCTTGTTGTTGTTTATTGTTTGTTGTTGTTTTGATGTTCACCTTGTTTTTGTTTATGTTTGTTGTTGTTTTGATGTTCACCTTGTTTTTGTTTATGTTTGTTGTTGTTTTGATGTTGACCTTGTCGTTGTTTATTGTTTGTTGTTGTTTTGATGTTCACCTTGTTAGGGCCCGGGCACGAACCGTGCAAGGCCCCTCTTGAAACCCGAGTGATTATTATTATTCTTCTTTTTCTTTTTATTGTTCCTCCTCTTTGTGGCCACTTTTGAGGGCCTGAACGTGCCCAAAAACTCACCAAACTTTCCACGCTCATCAGGTCTCGTGAAAAATTTGATATTTTGGTGGTTTCGAAAAGAAAATTTGCAAAATGGCTCAGTGGCGCCCCCTTGAAAATTTCAAAATGGCCTCCCCACAAAGGGTTTTTTCACGTACGCTCACGAAAATTGATACGCATTTTAAGCTTGTCGGGACGGACTAAGAATCTTCTTGCTGCGTTTCAAAAAACCCGACAGGAAGTCCACAAATTAAAGTTTCACGATAACGGCCCAAAATGGCTCAAATTCGCTGATTTCAGCCTTCCTATTTGAACGCACTTGTCCGAGGGCGCTGATCCGATCGACTCAAACTCAGTGTCAGTGCGTTCTAGACAGACTCAACATATCTCGTTGTGCTCCGCACGTTATTTCGTCAAAGGGCGTGGCCGTGGCGTGCGTTTACATTTTTTGAGCATTTTTGGCAAGTTGCCAAAAAAGTAAATGTTTATATCTCTGCCATCTAGTGTTCAATCATATTAACATGTCTCATCCATGATACTGGACCCGCCCTGAACACGTCCATGATACTGGACCCGTCCTGAACACGTCCATGATACTGGACCCGTCCTGAACACATCCATGATACTGGACCCGCCCTGAACACGTCCATGATACGGGACCCGTCCTGAACACGTCCATGATACGGGACCCGTCCTGAACACGTCCATGATACGGGACCCGTCCTGAACACGTCCATGATACGGGACCCCCTGAACACGTCCATGATACGGGACCCGCCCTGAACACGTCCATGATACTGAACCCGTCCTGAACACGTCCATGATACTGGACCCGCCCTGAACACGTCCATGATACTGACCCGTCCTGAACACGTCCATGATACTGGACCCGCCCTGAACACGTCCATGATACGGGACCCGCCCTGAACACATCCATGATTGACATTTTTTTATTAGTCACAGCGCCATCTGTTGACAACAGGAAGTTACTGCTTCTCAATTAGCATTAGCCATTGCTACACGGTAGCTCAGTTCCCCCTCAGGATGTGTGTGGGCCATGCTAACACCTCGGCCATGCTAACACCTCGGCCATGCTAACACCTCGGCCATACAACACTTTCAAGCTCAAACGCCTTCGTCCAACGCTGTTGCCATACGGACGCGTCGCTCGCCATCAAACAGGAAGTACTTTTTTCACGGGCTTAACATAGTCGTACTGTCCCGAAACTTCATACATATAATCCTGGTGGTGAAGTCAAACATCTTATACTGTTTAAGTGAGTGGGCGTGGCTTAATGGCTCAGTAGCGCCCCCTACAATATTTCAAACATTCAGCCCCTGCAGCACGTTGAACCTACAATTCTGAATTTTACTGCATTTCCAACATGACAAAATCTACAAAAAAGGCTCTTGTACCCACGCCCAAAACTCAACAGGAAGTCCACAAATCACATCGCCATCAAACAGGAAGTGGCTGTAACTCTTATATACTTTGTCTGATCTGCTTCAAATTTCCCAGGTATGATCAGGGTTGGCCTCTGAACAGATTGACATAACAAAAGTCAACTTTAACCATAGCACCCCCTAGTGCAAGGACTAAGTACTACCTCCCATATAAAATCTCACATTTTATTACATTTTCACTTGAATCATCTCAGTACTGGCCTGCTCACATCTAACCTAATACAATTGGGCCACTGTCATAGCGCCCCATACTGGAAAGACACTGTACTACATCTCATATACTTTGTCTGATCTGCTCCAATTTTCACAGGTATAATAAGGGTCGCTTCTGAACACCATCCCAAAACAATAATAAAGTTTAACTATAGTGCCCCCTACTGCAAAGTATAAGTACTATTTCCCATATACAATGTCAGATTTGCTCCAAATTTCACATGTATGATCAGGGTTGGCCTCTGAACACATTGACATAACATTAGTCAACTTCAACAATAGCGCCCCTACTGCAAAGAGTAAGTACTACATCCTATATACAATGCTCAATTTCCTCCAAATGTCATAGCTATTATGACAGTGCCAGCCTGAACTGCTCTACGTCAAAACTTTTACGTGCTCTTCACTGTGTTGCCTATTTCAACATGCCAGTACAACGACAACACACCCCGACATGCACAAGGGTGCGAGGGCCCTTCATCACCGCTTGTGGTTTTAATTTTTGTTGATGTTTGTTGTTTTTTGTTTTTTTTAAAGATTTATTTTTGGGCTTTTTGTGCCTTTTAATGGAGAGATAGGACAGTGGATAGAATCGGAAATCAGGGAGAGAGAGAGGGGAATGACATGCGGGAAAGAAGCCACAGGTGGGATGTGAACCCAGGCCGGCCGCTTGAGACTATGTTTGTTGTTTTGATGTTCACCTTGTTTCTGTTTATGTTTGTTGTTGGTTTGATGTTGACATGGTCGTTGTTTGTTGTTGTGGTTCAGGTGCATCTTTTCTGGCCATCACCACCATCTATGCTGAGTCTGGCTCTGGCTTTGTCGTCCCAAGTGCATCTGCAAAAGCTGGAGTGGAGGCACTCTACAAGTCAGTGTGACCTTTGACCTTTAAACAACTGAATCAGATCTAAACAATGACGCACTATCTGAGACTGCACTCACACTATGACCAGTTGTCCCGTCCAGCGCTTAAGCACGATTGCGTCTCTTACTGACTGTCATACTATCTGACTCTCATACTGACTCTCTTACTATCTGACTCTCATACTGACTCTCTTACTGTCTGACTCTCATACTGACTCTCATACTATCTGACTCTCATACTGACTCTCATACTGTCTGACTCTCATACTGACTCTCATACTATCTGACTCTCATACTGACTCTCTTACTATCTGACTCTCATACTGACTCTCTTACTGTCTGACTCTCATACTGACTCTCATACTATCTGACTCTCATACTGACTCTCTTACTGTCTGACTCTCATACTGACTCTCATACTGACTCTCTTACTATCTGACTCTCATACTGACTCTCATACTATCTGACTCACATACTATCTGACTCTCATACTGACTCTCATACTGACTCTCATACTATCTGACTCCAATACTATCTGACTCTCATACTATCTGACTCTCAAACTATCTGACTCTCTTACTGACTCTCATACTATCTGACTCTCATACTATCTGACTCTCATCCTATCTGACTCTCATGCTATCTGACTCTCATACTGACTCTCATACTATGACTCTCATACTATCTGACTCCAATACTATCTGACTCACATACTATCTGACTGTCATACTGACTCTCATACTATCTGACTCTCATACTGACTCTCATACTATGACTCTCATACTGTCGGACTCCAGTACTATCTGACTCTCATACTGTCTGTCTCTCATACTGACTCTCATACTATCGGACTCCAATACTATCTGACTCTCATACTGACTCTCATACTATCTGACTCTCATACTATCTGACTCTCACACTGACTCTCATACTATGACTCCAATACTATCGGACTCCAATACTATCTGACTCTCATACTGTCTGACTCTCATACTATCTGACTCTCATACTGACTCTCTTACTATCTGACTCTCATACTATCTGATACTCTTACTGACTCGCATACTATCTGACTCTCATACTATCTGACTCTCTTACTGACTCTCATACTATCTGACTCCAATACTATCTGACTCTCATGCTATCTGACTCTCATACAATCTGACTCTCATACTATCTGACTCTCATACTATCTGACTCTCATACTAACTCTCATGCTATCTGACTCTCATACTGACTCTCATACTATCTGACTCCAATACTATCTGACTCTGATGCTATCTGACTCTCATACGATCTGACACTCATACGATCTGACTCTCATACTATCTGACTCTCATACTAACTCACATACTATCTGACTCTCATACTGACTCTCATACTATCTGACTCCAATACTATCTGACTCTCATGCTATCTGACTCTCATGCTATCTGACTCTCATACGATCTGACACTCATACGATCTGACTCTCATACTATCTGACTCTCATACTATCTGACTCTCATGCTAACTCTCATGCTATCTGACTCTCATGCTGACTCTCATACTATCTGACTCCTTTACTGACTCTCATACTATCTGACTCTCATACTGACTCTCATACTATCTGACTCTCATACTATCTGACTCTCACACTGACTCTCATACTATCGGACTCCAATACTATCTGACTCTCATACTGTCTGACTCTCATACTGACTCTCATACTATCTGACTCTCATACTATCGGACTCCAATACTATCTGACTCTCATACTGTCTGACTCTCATACTGATTCTCATACTATCTGACTCTCATACTATCTGACACTCATACTATCTGACTCTCGTACTATCTGACTCATACTGACTCTCATACTATCTGACACTCATACTATCTGACTCTCATACTGACTCTCATACTATCTGACTCTCATACTATCACATTTTATTACATT